TCCCCCGACCCTCCAAGTAAGGACCCGAATGCTTACCGGAGGCTTCCCGAGCAATTTTTCCTTGTGCAAAACATGTACCACAAGGACTGTTCTAGTTCTTCAGGCCGCCTCACGACAAGGGCAAGTTGGGAAGTCGTCCCGAACATGACAGGATTACGGTACGTGGAGGGATTTCTCCACAGCAGTGGTGTAGGTTGTGTGAATTTCGGAAATAGGCGAAAAGGAGGCAGTACTTATCACGACGCCTTGTTACCCGTGGCTGCTTATCTGGCAGCAAACTGTCGAGACTCGATGAACCCCGCTCGATACGAAGCATCTCGCACGAGAAACCATATACTGTTACACTGTCCAGAGGTGGTTATCGGTTTGGTGCTGGTGTGGCGGTATAACCTCCAACACCACCACGATGGCTTCGGCCTGGCTGGCATCTCCACCATCATCAGCCTCTGCATCTTGACGGGGGTTTGAGACTATGAGGTTTGGGCAGATCTTGGGTGTGGCCTACACTGATTTTGATCTATGAGCCCTTTGTGAACTAGCGAAATGAAGAGCATCCCGAGGAAAGGTCTGCTCGGGAACTTGGTTTGCAGACACATATGTGCACATAGAATACCTCTTGCTCTATCGCTCCCTCTATGTCTCTCTGTCTCTCTCTCTCTCTCTATCTCTCTCTCCCTTTCCATAGATGTCTGTCCATGTTTCTAGCCCTATCTATCTGTCTATCTATCCATCCGTCTATCCATCCTTCCGTCCATCTATGCACCTATCCTTCTATTTATCTGTATGTCTATATATCTGTATATCTGTTTGTCTGTATACTGTATACCTGTATACTTGTATGTCTGTATGTCTGTGTGTCTGTATCTGTATGTATATGTGTATCTACAGCTATATCAATAGGTATATCTCTATCTCCATCTGTATCTGTATCTTCGCCTATGTCTATATCTATATCTACAGCCATATCTATATCTACATCTGTATCTGTATCTATATCTGTATCTGTATCTACATACGGACAGATATAGATATACATGTCCGCAGGTATGTAGGCATCTAGCAACGCTTTCTTGCCCATCTCTGTCTGCTTGTTTCTCTCTGTCTCCGGCTTCGGTTTTTGCCTTCTTTGAGGTTCATGGGACTTACTAAGTATAGTTATAAGTACCTTAATCGGGGCTGTGGGAACTTAAAAGCAGAGTTACCCTATTTACAACCCTAGTTACTAAGTCCCATGAACCTTTAAGTTTCCATCTCTATACCTAGCCTACACTACTGCAATCGGCAAGCTTGAAAATAAGTGGATACATGAATGCAGAGTTAACAGTAGGCGCACGCACGAGCAAAAAACAACTAGAAGTAGAAGTAAAGCCACCTACAGAAGTAGGCAGAAAGTTGTCATAAGTACGTATGCGCAATTATATATACGCATGCATGCATCTACAGATGTGTAGGTTTGCACACGTGTTATGTGTCTCTGTCTATCTGTGTCTAGAGAAGAAACTATGTACGGCATGACCTCCTACATAGTGCAGGTATGCAGAGAGAGCTTTGGAGCGCCTGTACGGGATCAGATTCCTGCAAGCCGTGCCAATGAGATGCAGTCGAACTCCCTATGGAAAGCCCCCATTACAACACCACAAAGCACCCTGCAACCCTTACACAAAGCTTGTTCAAACTTCATAAAGCCGTGCAAAACCTGAAACTGACTTAACGGCCCCAGCCAACCCTTGCCGATTCCGAGCGCGGAAGCTAAGGCAAAGGGCTCCTGATCCCCTCTTTCCAGGCCCTTTTTCCGTCTGCTTCCATGGGTAAAAGGTTTGTTTTTGAAGGTTTCTTTCCAGGCGTTTAGTGTTTCGGGTTTAGGTTTCGGCTCCGGGGTTTAGGTGCGACCTGCTTTTGGAGTTTGGGGTCCTGCTTGGGGTCAGGGTGGTGTTGTATGCTGGCTGGGGTTGAGCGAATAGGCGAATAGGTGTGAAAGAAATTGCAGCTTGCTGTCTGAACTACTACGGCTACTAACGTAGAGCCCGAAGCTCGGCTCCAGAGCATTGCCATGCCCTAGTCGTTCTTCGCCCTGAACGCCTGGGAGCTCGAATCGTCTGAAACGTCTACAACGAATCCTCCATGTCGTTTCCGCAAATCCAAACTCGAGGCACTGAGATGCGTGGTCGGCATATCTACGTACTTGCGAAGCCACATGCCGGAATCACAACTGGCCTGTAGCAGCATACATCGCCTCTCAACTCGATGCAGCAGTTTCACCAAACCATAGGGCTCAAGGGCTTGGTGGGGTTCAGCCAGTAGTCATCCTTGTACATATAGATGCAATATATATATATATATATATATATACGCGTATATATATA